TCAACCGTCTAGCTCTCCAAGTGCCGTGAGGTAGGTACAACACAGGGCGCTCCCTTTACAGAGGAGGAAGCGAAGGCACCGAGAAACCCGGCCATTTGCCTAAGGTAATGTGGCTGTTGGGAGGCAGTGCCGCTCGGACCCCGCTCTGTCCTCTGCTCATCTGTAAGGGATGTTGGCGAGTGGTTCCAAGTCAGCCTGTGGCCACTCCGGCCTTGCGTGTGGGAACTGTGTGGGTACAGATGGGGAATCGTGAGAGGGACCACAGGCCCCAGGTCCCTCTCAGTGAAGGGCATGTGACGTGGCTGTGCTTCTGGAATGTGAATTAAAGGGAACAGGCTTCTAAATGAGATCCAGCCCCACAGCGCCCTCGGCATCATGATGTCAGAGCGAGATCTCCCGCTGGGGCCTGGCTGGGGTCAGGGAGAGACAAGAGAACAAGACAAGTCTGAAGCCTGAGGGGTTCAGAGGCAGAAGAGGCCCTGGGGACGTCCTTGGGGGACAGCGGGCCATCTGCGCTCTGCCTTTGCTGTCTTGGAAACAGGGGAGTCCCTGGGTCACACAGGGACCTGGTCCACAGTGCTCGCTGGGAACCTCTGACGTGGCCTCCTGCTGGGCCTTCGAGTTCCCAGCTGTCCATGCAGGGCAAGTGCTGGCTTTACGTCTCCAAGACAGAAGTGTTCTGTAAACCCCTCACGCGTCAAATCCCAGGCAGAGCGGTGTGAGGACTGACAAGCTCGCCACTCCCCAAAGCCACGCTGGACTTCCTGGAACAACTCCGGCGGAGGTGCCGGACGGGTCACCGGGCGGCAGCTGCCCTTCCTGACCAGGCTCGCTCGGCTGGGCCCGGAGCTCCTGCGCCACTGGCACAGCGGAGCCTCTCGCGTGTGTGTGTGTGTGTGTGTGTGTGTGCGCGCGTGAACTCCTCCTGTTCTCTGACACAGCCAGGCAGGGAAGCAAGCACACCTATTGACAGAAGTGACGGGGGCTGTGCAAACTCTGACCCGGCCACAGGGCTCCTACTTCTCAGCCCCAGGTGGGCTTTCCCCTCCTCAAGTCTGCACCCATTCTTTTAAAGTCCAGACCCTTACTCCTCAGAGGCTTCCCCCAGGCTCTCTCCCCGCCACCCGTGCAGCATCAAGCTCTCTCAATGTGTCCCCACGTCCTTTTATTTTATCAGTACGAGTATGGGTTTTAAAATAACGAATCCTTTTCCTCATGTCCATAAATTGACCATTATTTCCACTAAGGAGTTAAAACTGGGTGTTTTTGGGGCCAGCGCTGTGGCACAGTGGGTTAAAGCCCTGGGCTGAAGCGCCTGCATCCCATATGGGCCCCAGTTCCAGTCCCACTGCTCCTCTTCTGATCCAGCTCTCTGCTGTGGCCTGGGAAAGCAGTAGAAGATGGCCCAAGTCCTTGGGCCCTGCACCCATGTGGGAGACCTGGAAGAAGCTCCTGGCTCTGGCTTCGGACCAGCACAGTTCTGGCTGTTGTAGCCAACTGGGGAGTGAACCAGCAGATGGAAGACCTCTCTCTCTGTCTCCACCTCTCTCTGTAACTCTTTCAAATAAATAAAATAAATCTAAAAAAAAAAAAAAACTGGGTGTACTTCTGCAACTCACTTTCTGAACACCTCCTTCTCTCACCTCCCTGCCTTCTGCCTTCAGTGTAAAGTCTCCCTGCTTTTTGAATCACACTGCTCAATCTACTACGGTTTTGCAGAAGCCAGTGCAAATGGACTCACCACCGGGTAGAAAATGAATTTTAGTAAGGGAGAAAAAGGTGCTTTTTACCTAGCAAGTCAGCAAAAAAAAAAAAAATGTATCTGCCTTCTCATTATACCCTGTAAAAGTGTGGTGCTAGTTTGAAATCAAACAAGTATGCCAGAAAATGCTAAACATTAAAAGCCAGTACTTCTTTAGGTTGGTGTTTCTTAATGATAGTTAATCGTCAACTTTGCCTTCTTACAAAGACTTGGGCCATCAAGGAGGTACAGAACCCTGATGGCCAATAACTCCCGCAAATAATTGACTTGACTGCCTTCCAGCGTCACTGAAGGTCACTGGCTGTTCTGCTACTTGTTCTTAGCTTCAAACACTGGATGATCGCTGTCGACCTTTAGCTCGTGGAGTCCTCCGGGCCACAGCCAAGCCAACGCTCAAGTATTTGTTTTGCTGGCCTCATCATCTAGGCTGCCGAGGAGGATCTAGGGAGGAAGCAGTGGAGGACTGCAGGTCTGTAAAAGGCACAAAATTAAACACTGAACAGAAATGACTTCACACTGTCCACAGAGGTAGATAAAACAACCATATTATTTCCACTTTACAGACGCAGGAACTGGAAGGGGAAAACCCACGTTTGCTGAGTATCCATAGCAGGACAGGCCCAGTGCCCGGAGCGTTGGCCCCCACCCGTCGATAAGCCAGTCAGGACCCTGCAGGTGGGCAGTCTAGTGGGCACAGCAGGAGGAGGAAGGCACAGGAGACGACGGAGGGAGGGGACGGGCTGACTTCCTCCGACCGGAAGGCTTCGTGGGGAAGGAATCCGAGCTGAGCCTTGCTGCGTGGTGGGCATTCTACAAAGACGGTGGGCAGCAGAGGGGCTGAGTGGAGCCAAGGCACAGAAGGTTAGGACGGGAGCTCAGCTGCTGCACAGGACCTGAGGGTGGGGCAGCGGTAAGGCAGACGAGTGCAGAGGACTTGGGTGCCGGCTCCGTCGTCATGAGCAGAACAGCAGGGAATCACGTAGGCGGCCATTGTCGCAGCCAGGGCGGCAGCATCTGTGTACGACTTGGCACCCAGAGGGACATGGCCCATGAAGGAGGCTGGGCAGGAGGCACTCATGTGAATCGGAGACACATTCTGTTCGGGCTGTCCTTGGACCAGAGGCGAGGAAGCTCCCGTCAGGGTGGTGGAAACGTGGGTCTGAGGACCAGGACAGCTTTCCTGACATCCGATGCTTGGCTGCACGTAGCAGGAAAACTCAGCACGGGGCACAGCGCAGAGAGATAAAGGACAACACAGAGACGCTGGGGGACAACTGCACAGAGGGGCCGGCGCTCTGGTACAGCGGGTAAAGCCGCCGCCTGCAGTGCTGGCATCCCGTGCCCGGCGCCTGCTCCACTTCCCATCCAGCTCCCCGCTGGTGTTTCTGGGAAGGCAGCAGATGGCCCAGGTGTCTGGGCTCCTGCACCCACATGGGAGGTCAGGAGGGAGCTGCAGGCTCTCGGCTTTGGCCTAGCCCAGCGCTGGCCATTGCGGCCATTTGGGGAGTGCACCCGTGGCTGGAAGACCTCTCTCTGTAACTCTGCCTTTGAAATAAATAAATGCATCTTTAAAAAAGTGTAGTCTGAACAGTCAGTCAGCGGGGAGAGGGAAGGCGATGGGAGGAAGTGAATTTCCAGGGACACAGCGCAAGGCTGCAAGGCACACACGGAGGCCGGAGGCCGCGGCCCAGCTCAGCCCCCACCCTTGTGCTGTGGGGTCACGGGAGAGGCAGAGTGCTTTTCTGGGGCGGGGGGACCTGTCATTTCAGCGCATCAACCCACGGCGAGTTCCCATCGCCCGCCCCCAGGTTCCCTGGAGCGGCCCAGGCGACAGCTGTCAGTCTGTGCAGGCCGCAGGCTGGTGGGATTCCTGCAACAGGGGTACAGAGAGAGCGGGGCAAGGCCCCAGGAGTGCCCATCCACGTCCCCTCACTGTCCGGGGGCTTCCCCTCTGCTCACTACACCCCCACCCCCGGGGTGCCCGGGGCCTCGCCCTCCCCAGCCCTGCCCAGGTGTGCGGGGCCTCGTTCTCCTCAGCCCTGCCCGCGGTGCCCGGGGCCCTCTCGCTCTCCTCAGCCCTGCCCGCCGGTGTGCGAGGCTGGGTCTCTCCTCGCTCGTGCCCCAGGTGTGCAGGGCCTCGCTCTCCTCAGCCCTGCGCAAGATGTGCGGCCCTGCCCGCGGTGCCCGGGGCCCTCTCGCTCTCCTCAGCCCTGCCCGCGGTGCCCGGGGCCTCTCCCTCCTCAGCCCTGCCCGCGGTGTGCGGGGCTGGGTCTCTCCTCTCTCGTGCCCGCGGTGTGCGGGGCTGGGTCTCTCCTCAGCCCTGCGCAAGATGTGCGGCCCTGCCCGGGGTGCCCGGGGCCCTCTCGCTCTCCTCACCCCTGCCCAGGGTGCCCGGGGCCTCGCCCTCCCCAGCTCTACCCAGGTGTGTGGAGCGGGGTCTCTCCTCGCTTGTGCCCCAGGTGTGCGGGGTCTCGCTCTCCTCAGCCCTGCCCGCGGTGCCCGGGGCCCTCTCGCTCTCCTCAGCCCTGCCCGCGGTGCCCGGGGCCCTCTCGCTCTCCTCAGCCCTGCCCGCGGTGTGCGGGGCTGGGTCTCTCCTCGCTCGTGCCCGCGGTGTGCGGGGCTGGGTCTCTCCTCAGCCCTGCCCGCGGTGCCCGGGGCCTCTCCCTCCTCAGCCCTGCCCGCGGTGCCCGGGGCCTCTCCCTCCTCAGCCCTGCCCGCGGTGCCCGGGGCCCTCTCGCTCTCCTCGCCTCCGCCCCAGCCGTGCGGCACCGGCGCGGGGACAGCCGCCGCAGCCTGCCCACCCCGGGGAGACGTCCTCCTCAGGGGCGCGAGCCCAGACGGCTCCCAGGGCTGACCAAGGGCAGGGGCAGGGGGAGGAGCCCGCTCGGCTCGCCCAGGCCCGGCGGCCGCAGCGGCCGGCGACCAGCGAGCAGTGCACGCCGGGACGGGTTGTCAGCCGCCCGCCAGTCCGCCGCGCCGGAGCGGCCGCCCCGCCCCGGCCCGCCCCGCCTCGGTCCACGTCGCCCTTTCCCCGACCAATCCCCGCTCCGGCCGCCCGGCCCGGCCCATCTCCGTAGGAGGCCCGCATTTGGACGCCTGGCTCTCATGTGGCGAGAGACGGAAGTGACTCCATAGGGTGCTTCCCGTTGACTACGACATCGGAAGCCGTGGTGGGGTATCCGACATACCATAGGTGGAGGCCTGCCGGAGACCAGGGACAGCATTGCGGACCCTGGGAGCGCTCGGGCGCCGGCGGCCCCCGCCTCAGTCCTCAGCCGGCCTCGGCGCGGCTCGCAGCCCCTCAGCCCGCGCCCGACGATGTGCCCCGCCGGCCGGGCGTAGCGCGGCGCGAGCTCGCACCCGCGGGATGAGCGCGGCCGGCGGCCGGGGCGGCGGGTGTCCGCGCCTGCGGCCGGCGCCCGGCAGCCTGGCGGCGGCCGCGGCGGCGCTCTGCCTGGTGGCGGCCGCGTCGGTGTGCACGGCGGGCGCCGCGCCCATGAGCCGGGAGGAGAAGCAGAGGCTCGGGTAAGGGTGTGCGGGAGGCCGGGGCGCGCGGGGTTGCGGGGCACCGGTGCGGGGGCGCGGCCGCGGGAGCGTGGGCTGCTGGAGCGCGGCGTGGCCGGGTGCCCTGGCCTGCTGGCGTCCCGCGCCGCGTGGCCGGAGTAGCGCGGGGCACTGGGCGGCGGAGTGGAGAAGCCCGCGTGGGGCGTGCGGGCTGCGTGCCCAGAGCGGCGTCCGCCTCGGGGAAAGTGCGGTGCGAGTGTCGGCGAGGCGCAGCCACGGTGACACGCGCGCCCGCCGCCCGGGGAAAGCGGGCACGGCCCCCGACCCCGGCCTGCCGGGCTGAGCTGCGGGCTGCAGTCCGTGCGGCTGGTGCCTCCTGGTGCCGCCTGTCAAGTCCGCACACCCGCAGCCCTGGCCAGGTCCGGGCCGTCTCTCCGAGGCCGGAGCCAGGGGGACCGCGATGTGCGCTTTGCGCCGTCTGCGGTGCCCGCACCCTGAGGCCGGCCTGCACCTGCTCCGAGGGTTCCTGGAGGGAGCGGCCCGCGGCTGCAGACCTGGAGGGTTGGCCGTCAGGATGGGCGTCCCTCCGGGAGCTGCCGCGAGAGGCCCCTTCTAGCTTTTAGATGAAATAACAGCGAAGACTGCCCGATGGCAGGAAAAGATCAGCTCTCAAAGCAGAAGGACCAGTCGCTCCGAGTGCCCCCTGTCCTCCCCGACAGCCGTGACCCCTGTGCCCCTGGAGCGCGTCACCCCTGGGACCCTCCCCGGTTCTTTCCTTTCCCCTTTGAGGATTTGTTTATTACAGAGAGAGGGAGAGCGAGCGAGCAGAGAGAAAATCTTCCATCAGCTGGTTCGCTCCCGGAATGGCTGGCGCTTCCTGCAGGTGTCCCACAGGGGTGGCGCTTGGGCCATCGCGCCCTGCTTTCCCAGGCCGTTGGCAGGGAGCTGGGTCCGGCAGCCACACGGGAAGCAGGCGCTGCAGGCAGAGGCTTAGCCAGAAGGCCAGGGCGCTGGCCGCCTCCCTGCCTCCATGAGCTGCGTGTGACCCCGGGGTTGACGTGTAGTGTGGTGGGGGGCGGGCGGTTTCCAGCCGGTCTGGTCCGCTCTGGGAGATGCGGAGTATCAGGTCTGTTGAGGATCCCCGGGGTCTTCTCCGACCCCACTCCCCTGCCTGCCTTTTCTGGTGAGAGCTCTCACTTGAAGGACAGGTACTGGACAACTCATTTTTGATGAGAATTAACTTTTTTTTGCAAAAGATTTATTTATTTGAAAGGCAGAGCGACAGAGAGGGAGAGGGAGTGAAAGAGATCTTCCGTCTGCTGGTTCACACCCCAGATGGCCGAAACAGCTGGGGCCGTGCCAGGCCAAAACCAGGAGCCGGGAGCTCCATCCAGGTCTCCTGTGTGGTGGCGGGCGCCATCACCGCCGCTCCCCAGGGGCGCCTGCACAGAGCCTGCACGGGAAGAGGAGCCTCCGGGGTCCAGCCTGCTCGGCGACGTGGGATGCTGGCGTCCTGAGCCGTGGCTTAGCTGGCTGCACTGCGGCCCCTGCCCCAGGCTGAGTTTTTAACTGGGAAAGTCTAGCCAAGTCGGCATGAGGTTCCAGCTAGCACTCGGTTCTAGATTGGCCTTCTCTGCCATGAGGGAAGAGTGAGCTACAGACATTTGTGGGACTGCTTTCCCCGGGGGATTTTCCGAAAACAACTCCAGATGCATTAGGTTCACCTGTGCTTTTTTTTTTTTTTTTTTAATCCTAACAATGACTTATGATAAGAAGCAGAAAATGTCCCACCCTTTTCCTACACCCTCAAACCAAACAGACGAGACGGGCATTGCTAGGAATGGTGAGCGATTTCCTGGTGCTTGCAGTTGCTGATTTGTGGATTGTTTACCTGCTCCTATATAGTTGTATCCTTCATGGAATGCATTGTTTTTTGTTTCGTTTTTTAAACGTTAGGGCAGGGGGTTTTGTAAAATTGCCTTTATTTATAATTGGAGTCCAGAATGATCCACTTTCTGTAGATGTTGGCAGATAGTGTAACACTGGAAAGAGCTGACTTACAGAAATTTCTTAAAATGAGTCAAGACATAATTCCAAGCCGTGGATCTGATGTCTGATATGTTTAGATCCTGTGGCTAGGAAGCCTTATAGAAACGTTAAGATGGTAATCACTGGCCTGCTGTGGACGCACGCAGGACTTAGGCCTCTGACGTGGAAGTCCGAGCCGTTGGATGCTCAGTGGCCCGCTTCGAAGGCTCTGGAGACGGAGGCCCTGTGCCCTCCTTGGCCGTGATGACTGGCCTCTCATCTCGACGACGGCGCTCCCCCGTGGAGGCACTGCCCTGCCCAGTTGCAGGAGCTTCTACCTGGCTAATAATCTTGACTTCATTCCATTTTTCAGAAGGAGAGAGCCGAGCTGCCATCTTCATTTATTAAGAGTGCCTGAAGGGACACTGTCTGCTTTGTGGGCGCAGGGGCAGGTAGATCAGATTGTAAAGATCCTGCTCGTCTGCAGTGTAGCCCATGTCTACAACTTTGTGAAATCGCTTGATAAATACTCTTTTTTTTTTTTTTTTTAATTTACTTGTTTGAGAGGCAGAGTTATAGAGAGGGAGAGAAAGAGAGAGAGAGGTCTTCCATCTGCTGGTTCACTCCCCAAATGGCTGCAACAGCCAGAGCTGGGCTAACCTGAAACCAGGAGCCAGGAGCTTCCCACGAGGGTGCAAGGGCCCAGGCACTCGGGCCATCTTCCACTGCTTTCCCAGGCCATGAGCAGAGAGCTGGATTGGAAGAGAGGTAGCCAGGACTCAAACCAGTGCCCACATGGGATGCCGGTGCCGTAGACGGAGGCTTAGCCCACACCACGGCGCCAGCCCCATACATCTTCTGTCATACATGGATAAACTTACCAAGAATGAGTGTTTTAGCAAAGCTGTTATGGGATCGTGTTTTTAATGATTAGGTGTTGTTCAATGATTACTGTGTATAAAACATTGTTAGGGGTTCAGTTATTCAGTTTATGAGTTTGAGTGTACTTGATTATTATTGGCCATCATTAGTCGTTGTCAGCCAGGACCTGGAAATTAGTTCTTTTCTATTAGCTTTATGATTATCAGTAGTTGATCATCATGATTACTTTTTTATTATTATTTTGTTAATTGAGAAGCAGAGACTGAGCTCCCATTCCCTCGGTCACTGCCCATGTGCCCACGATGCACTGAAGCCAGGAGCTGGGAACTCCGTCCCAGGCCTCCCACAGGGGGCGTGGACCCAGGTCCTTGAGCCATCACTGTGGCCACTTGGGGTCTTCCTGGGGGGAAGCTGGAGTCCGGAGCCGGAGCCAGAGCCAGGCCCCGTGATCTGGGACACGGTGTCCTAACCACTAGGCTGCCCTCGCTGCCAGGACTGCAGTTTTGGAGGAGGTACTGCAGTGTTGCAGGAGGCGAATGAGACGTAGCCTGTCCTTCTCTTCACACCTTCTCATTCTTGCCGTTTGGCCTTCTCTGTCCGTAACACTAACTTCTGTAGGTTTTCCTGCAGCCTGGAACGCCTGGATGTGCAGTACTGATTTCTGGGTCCCAGCCTTGCAGGTGTTGAGTGGAAATGCGGTGCGGGGAACAGCGTTCTGTTGGAACAGCCTTCTTGGAGCCCTGGAGAGGCAGTTAGCCAAACCTGGGGTCTCTTTTTGAGTGTGAGTTTTATCGTAGAGGTGAATACCATTTGACTTGTGACAGCTTTTTGAGAGAGCACAGCATGACTAAAATACATCTTTTGAGATTGTGCCATATTAACAAGTAGGTGCAACAAGTAGGCATTAATTTGAGGAAGGCAGAGGCTTGAGAAAATGGTATGTCATGCCAGCCCACCCTCACCCTTTCATTTTTTTAGAAACCTTTTATTGAACAAATATACATTTCATAGCAGTTCTTCCCCCCCATACCTGCCCTCCCACCACCACTCCCTCCCATCACACTCCTCACCAAGATTGATTTCTAATCATCTTTGTATATAGAAGATCAACTCTGTACTAAGTAAAGATTTCAAGTTTGCACCCACAGACACACAAGGCATAAAGTACAGTTTGAAGACAAGTCTTAATGTTAATTCTCACAGTACAGCTCCTTGAGGACAGAGGTCCTCCACGGGGAGCAAGTGCACAGTGTCTCCTGTGGTCGATTTCACAACCAGCGACACGCTTATCCATGACGGCAGTGACCACCCGAGGCTGCTGGCATGAGCAGCCAAGGCTGCGGGGCCCTCTGAGTCCAGACAGGGCCACAAGCAGAGTGCAGGTTCCCTCCTCCTGTGATGGCCCCCTCTCTCCCCGGGGCTCACTCAGCCATGCAGGCTGAGCGGCAGATGGGCCCAGTGGCTGCAGGCTGGCCAGCACCTGCCCCTCCAGGATGGCGTCTTCAGTGAGTATTGAGGCGGAGCAGCATCGTTTTCCAGGAACAGGCTTGTCCCCTCTGTTTCTGGAGTGACTGCTCAGCAGTTCTCTTAGGCACGGTTGTAACGTGAGTTGTGCCTGAGTGACCAGGAGTGGGGCTTGGACTGGCGGGCGCGGCGACTCCAGGGCCTGTCTGCTCACTCCTGTGGCTTCCTGACCCCGTGTGTGTCCCTTCTAACGCAGAGTTTCGTTTTCGTTTGTTTTTTATTGGTATGTTTTTGTGAAGGAGAATTAACTTTTTGAAAGACAGTAAATAGAATATACTTAACTATTTTCCGTTTCTGCTTTTTTAAAATTAGGAATCAAGTGCTGGAAATGTTTGATCATGCCTATGGTAACTACATGGTAAGTGGCAGGCGTGTCTTCACGTGCAGTCTCTGGGAGCTGGTTGTTGTGTGAGCACAGTCACCTGGACGCTCTGGACCCTGGGAACCAGCGTGCTTTAAAAAGAAGGCAAACGTGGCTTAACGGAGTGCTGTGGGAGTGCACCTCGGGGAACCAGGGTGCTGGGCAGATGAGAATAAGCTGAGGTTGAATGTGGAGCACATTCCTGGACCCCGTCAGCAGTGTGCATGGAGTGCTTCACAGAGCCAGAAGTGGTGGATAGAAGCAAGAAGATACTCACCCCGGCTTTAAGGGCGATTATTCTCGTAATTTAAAAAGAACTGTTTGTAGTATTACTTTATATACGCTGTGAAGAAAAGCAGTGCTTAAAGAGAAGTGATCTCTTGGTCTCCGTGCAAGGTGTGTCCTTGGGGGCCCTGCACCGTGTGTGCTCCACGCTGCCCTGCTCGGCGCCTGTTACTAAGAGTGCCTGGAGCCCACTGAGGGTGAAGCCACAGTTTCAGTTTCACACTACGAGAGGCTTTAGAGGATTCTGTATAGCAGTGTCGGTGAAACAGGAGGCATGCTTTAGAAAGTGTGGCATATACATTTGTGTAATTTTGAAAAAATTTAATCAAATTATCCAAAGAATTATTTCTTGTAACCTTGGTTTTACATTTTAAGATGTGCACAGATTTGTGTGTGTGTGTGTGTGCATGTGTGTGTGTGTTTACAGCCTATAAAATATAGTTGAGAAAAGTTTGACAGAGAACTAACTTTAATTCTGCTTTACATATTTTTCAACTAATTCTTTGAATCCATTTTTCATTGTGAACATCTAAATATATATATATACTTTATGCATTTTTGCTTTTTACGATGTCTCGTATCTGATAATCTGTTTCCTTCTGTGTTGAACATCTGGTAAGAGCACATTTTGAGCTCCTAATAGATGTTTTCAGGAATGATGGTGATGATGGTGTGGATGTGACTGTAACAGAAAAGGCGATGTTAAGGGCATTTTTTAAGCCCTCGGCCATTCTCTTCATATTTCTTTCTTTTTTTTTTTTTTTTTTTTTGACAGGCAGAGTGGACAGTGAGAGAGAGAGACAGAGAGAAAGGTCTTCCTTTGCCGTTGGTTCACCCTCCAATGGCCGCCGCGGCCGGCGCACTGCGGCCGGCGCAGCACGCTGATCCGATGGCAGGAGCCAGGAGCCAGGTGCTTTTCCTGGTCTCCCATGGGGTGCAGGGCCCAAGCACCTGGGCCATCCTCCACTGCACTCCCTGGCCACAGCAGAGGGCTGGCCTGGAAGAGGGGCAACCGGGACAGAATCCGGCGCCCCGACCGGGACTAGAACCCGGTGTGCCGGCGCCGCTAGGCGGAGGATTAGCCTAGTGAGCCGCGGCGCCGGCCCCATATTTCTTTCAAAATCGTGTTTCCCTTATCCGTTCAGCTTGGGCAAAGCATGATGATCAAACCTAGGCTGGTGGTTGCGAGATGGCCAGGTGGATCCGTGCTGTGGTCTGAGCCACACGCGTCTCCTAGGTGTTCACTTGGTTCCACGGGTGCGTGAAGCCGTTCAGCGGTGAGGCCCTGCCCTTGCTGGGAAGGACTCTGTGTGAAGCGGGGCCGGCTGGCTTTTGCTCTGTGGATGACCAGCAGGAAGCCCCATCACTGCTTTTCCTCCTGCTGTGCAGCACACGGAGTCACTGGGTTTGTGAAGGGCAGGCAGAGGGCAGCCCTTGGAGGACTTCCTGTCCCGCTTCCCGCTGATTGGGGAACTTCGTGCTGCAGCTGACCACACACAGGAGCTGAGGGAGAGAGACGCTAGCTCAGACACCAGGAACTCCCGGAAGCGCAGCTTCTTCCCTGTTTCCTGTGGGCCCAGGCCCACCTGTGGTCTGCTGCAGTGCATACGAGGCCACTTGTCACAGTTCCTGGTCAGTGGGGTGAAGGGAAAGGCAGAAAAGTAGATTTTGGCACATAAAAAAACTAAAATTCGTGCATAGAAGGAGTCTTCAAAGAAGTTCATGGAAAATGTATTAGGAAAAAAACTGCATGCATTTCCTAGTTTTTTTGCACCAAATAAACACCTTTTAGCTCCGATTTCCATGAACTCTGTGACGCTCCCTCCTGTTTTACGCTGCCCAACTGTTGTACGGCGTGCGTGGCTCTGCAGTGCACTTGTGCTGTGTTCAGTCTGTGTGAGTTCGTGAGCCAAGGCCACGTGTGGAGTTCACACTCCCCCTTTCAAGGTCTCAGCTCACATGGGGGAGGATCCACGTCCCTTGTACTTGCTATCTGCTGTTAGTTGAACATGTTTTCTAGTTTGTGTGCTCAGAGACAGCGCGGCCTTGCTGTAGAACAGAAGTGTGCGGGTTTTAGAGCCCTGTCTCAGCTCGTTGCTAGCTGGCGGCCTCACACAGCGCTCAGCCCTGTGAACAGTGTCTGCAGATGGGAGGTGGGCATGGCCGCAGCAGGTTACTGCAGACTCGATCCCGGGGGCTAGGGCCTTTTCATTTCTTCCTTCCTTCCTCAGTTAACAGGGAGACAGGAAGAGAGAGCTTCCATCTGCTGCTTCACTCCCCAAGTGGCTGCAGTGGCCAGGGCTGAGCCAGGCTGCAGCCAGGAGCTTCTTCCGGGTCTCCTGCGTGGGTGGCAGGGACCCAAGCACTTGGGACATCTGCTGCTGCTTTCCTAGGCCGTTAGCAAGGAGCTGGATTTGGGGGTGGAGCAGCTGGGATTTGAACCCGCGCCTGTGTGGGAAGCCTGCTACGACACAAGGCCGGTTCCCTCTTTAGTTCTCAATAAATACATCCTTTATATGTCCTGTGCCCAGCAGTGTGCCTGGAACGTAAATGCCTATTAATTTTTTTATTTGCGTTTGGTTATTGTGATGTGTCTGCCTTTTAAACTAAAAGAAGTAGTTTAATAAATTTCATTAGCAGTTCAGTCAGAGAGGTTTCAGGGCACACGGATCTCTGCCTTGTTGTACTCAGGGCTAAAGTAGCTGAAGCGCCTGCTACATGGGAGCTTTTAAGGAATGATGATAGCTTTTCCTCACTTCTCCCTAGACCTACTTTTTTTTTTTTTAAGATTTATTTATTTGAAAATCAGAGTTACACAGAGAGAAGGAGAGGCATACAGAGAGAGAGAGGGAGAGAGATGGGGTGGAGTGGAAGAGAGAGAGAGAGGTCTCCATCCGCTCGTCCACTCCCCAGTTGGCTGTAACCGCCAGAGCTGAGCCGCTCTGAAGCCAGGAGCCAGGAGCCTCTTCTGGGTCTCCCGCAGGTGCAGGGTCCCAAGCACTTGGGCCATCTGCTGCTGCTTTCCCAGGCCACAGCAGAAAGCTGGATTGGAAGTGGAGCAGCTGAGACTCGAACTGGTGCCCGTATGGGACGCTGGCACTGCAGGCAGCGGCTTTACCCGCTACGCCACAGCGCCAGCCCCTACTAGTCCTTCCTTGTACTGCTCTCCAGCCTAGGATGCAGTGAGAACAGTTCCAGTGACCTTCTTAGTTCCCAGGAAAACAGTGGCATTTTCCTCAGCCAGGCAGCATGGAAGAATTACAGCTATGAAGTCTGGACTTGGAGCAGGCCGCACTAGCGTGGCTCTGCCTCAGTGGGACCCAGTGGGGCTGAGCGAGTTTCTCATCGCTGGCAAGTCCGGCTGCCTCCTGGGCTGTGCTCAGCCCTGCACACGAAGCTCCACCTGGACACGCGTTTCCTGCTGAGGGCTACTCCTGCCCTTACCACTCGACCTTGAAATTGCCCCCAAAAGCCCTTCCCGGCCTCCGCTGGGGATGTATTCCCACGTTGTGCCAGGAACTTGAGGCACACACGCTTTCTTTCCTGTTCTCAGCATGTGCCCGTGGGGTAGGTCTGTGAATGGCGTTTCCTAATAGCAGTGTCTGTCAGCTCTAGCAAGGTGCTGTGTCTCTTCTCCCTGGAGTTACAGCTAGGGTTCCTGGTTCTCAGTCCCTGGCTGCCGTGTCTGACCGGCCCTCTCCCTGGTCAATCCGGCTGCGATTGCCCAGTGAGTTGTACAGATGGCTTTCTCATTTCTCCACAAAGCCTGGAATTCGATGTTGTTTGGGCAGTTCTTGTGGGACCTTGCCTGACCCCAGGCCACAGCAAGTTCAAGGCTTCCATTAGCAGGTTCTCAGTACTTGTACCAAGTTCTGCTCGCAGGCCATAGATGGGTGGGGGCCACCCAGATGCAGGGCCTTTTTGGATACGAGCTCTCTGGTGTTTGTCTCCCAGTATTTTCCTTCTGCTGTGGACACCTCAGTTACAACTGTTGGGAGCAAAACTACTTGAGTAGATCCCTAACCATTCCAAGTCAACCTGAGCGGAATTGGTAAACATGGTTCCTTTTAAGCTTGATTTTTGAGAGAGAGAGTCTCTCATTCTACCCAAGCAGGGTTCCTGTGACTCTCCGTGTTTGTCTTTCCTTAGTAATGCTTCCCCCCACCCCCCCGTGTGTCTTCTGGGCTGGTAAAGCATGTGCAGTACAAACTTAGCACCTCCACGGTTCCAGAGTGCGCAGTGTGGCAGCATGCAGCTTCTCTGCGCTCTGCGCCGTCTGGGGAACGTTTTCATCTCCAGCCGAAGCTACTGTGTACCAGCGACTCTTTAATAGTTTGTTCACCAGAAAAAGTAGAGCTGTGGTGATACTGACGTTGAGGGTGGCGGATGTGAACTCCGTGTGGACCATGTGGGACTGCGTGTGTGAGGCACCGCTCCTGGACCTCTGCCCATCCTGAAGCCCTCCGGGGTCCCACGGCAAGGCCCATCCTGCTGTCCCTGGGGCTTTAGAATCCCGGTCTGATGCCCCAGGCCCTCCTGTTTCCCCTGGCAGGTGTGCGATACCGGAAGTGTGAGTGCTTCTCAGGTGGTTTGCAGACGGTCAGAGTCCAGTGACGGCCGCGGGGAGCCAGTCACGGCAGGGACTCTGTCACCCACAGGTTTCCCTCGCGCCCTCAGAGTGCACTCCGCCGCCTCTGCCCCTTAGCAGCCGT